TAATGAGTAGAGGGGATGCTCACCAAATTTATGTATGACACAAAAATGGGAGGGATAATGAATCCAGACACTGCCTGGATTCAAGATGGCCTTAAGAGGTTAGAAAACTGAGCCAAAACAATGCATTTCAACTGAGAATTAAAGGCAACTGGCCTAGTAGGGCTTTGTTTGAAAAGATCTGGTTTCTTAAGCAACTACAAATTAGACATGAGTAACTGATGAAGTAACGCAGCAAAAATATGTCTATTGTCTAAAGGATTATAATTACAGCACTATAATTACACACACACACACACACACACAGAGACAGCCATTTTCTCTGCCCTTTGCAATTTCTCAAGCTGAGAGAAATCTGTGTGTGTGTGTGTGTGTTCCAGCTCCCACAAGCATGGGGGATAACTCTGCATATGATCCTGGACCTGGAAATGTACTCTACACATGCCCCAGAGTTGGGGGGGTCAGGGCAGAATGGGGGGGATAAAAGTGCCTCCTGTTCCCTGGCTTTAGGAGGAAGGAGGGACCGGACTGGCCCCTATTTCCCTGGCTTTGAACCACCACCACCCCAAACCCCAGAACAACCTCCCCTCCGGCAGGCAAGCAAGTGCACTCACTTCACTCCTGTCCGTTTCCATCCATCCAGCTCTCTCGCACCTTCCTGCCTTATTCAGCTCCAGGCAGAAGCAGCCATCCAGAAGCCGGGGATTGATTGCCCAGGGCTGTCAGCCCTAAACAATCGAGCCACCTTCTCTCCGATCTCAGATAGAACCCAGGATTTACAAGTACCTCAACCAAGGAAGTAACAGGGAGCGGTTGGGCTGAAGGGGGTGGGATGGGGGATGGGGAGGCGTGAGGTGGAGATACAAAAGCCGGCCATTTTGAAGTTTTTCGGTTTTGCCTGCTGGACGGAGGACATGACCCTGAAAAGTAGGACATGTCCTCCTTTTGCCGGATGTCTGGCAACCTTAGCCATGAGGCCTACCAGGCCAGTCTTCCTCTAGGTCCATACAAACACAGACACTAGTTTATATTATAATATTTATTAATTATTCCTCATCATCAATAATCATAGCAGAACTACTGCTTTGCTTGCTTGGTACTGGAAGCCCAACCCCTTACCACTCCAACCGTTAGTGTACTGCAAATGACACTGCCAAAACCCCCACCACAACAGACACCTTTAAAATATACATGAACCAAATACCAATTTGTAAAAACTAATTAACAAGGGAAAGCATGCACTCACATATTGGGAAGAAAATAGCAACAAATTTAAAAGCACACATACATCTTCTTTTCCCCCAAACCAATAAAAGCAAATAAGCAAATACATAATAAGCAAAAAGGGAAAGAATCTAAAACAGTGATGTAGGCAGGCAAGAGATGAAGAGGATTACAAGTCCAGAATACTGTAATCCTGCAAGGAACAACAAAGCAGAGGGTACTCCTCACTACGTAGATTCCAGGCCATTTTATAGATTCAAAATGCCTGCCACACCTACATATTCTAATTGGTTGGTGAGAGTGGCCCTTGTGACACTATTGGATGAAACATTTCTCAGGCAAGGTGACATAGAAAGGACACTGAAAAACTATGTAAAAGAAGGAATATATAGGAAATAGGAAACATTTGTATAGCTCTCTTTTGTAAACATTAATCCTTTTTATTAGAGCAGTTATCTTTCAGCAATTGCCCAAAGAACACAAATTACCGTACATGAAAGAGAGCTTTTTTCCTCTTTGGTGTCTTTTGTTTAAACATTGATGGCCTATCCCTACTGATGACACTAGTTTAAGCCTTGCATTGTGCAGACATTGGCATACAGCACTGCTATCATGGTTGCAAGGAAAGTTGAACAAAATGCTCAGTATGGATAGTTACAAAAATGTTGAGCTTAAAACCTGTTGAGGAAAGGCTGAGGAAGGTGGATATGCTTATAATGAAGAAAGGAAAATTTATTTATTTATTTATTTATTTATTTAATTTATATGCCGCCCACACTACCCAAAGGTCTCTGGGCGGCATATAAACATAACCTTTGTTAAATACCTTATTTTCTTTTAGAGAGAGAAACGGGGGGTTGGCCTAGATGTCTGTTGGGGTCCTTTCAAACACTACAATTCTGTCGTGATATAGTTCTCTACCATGACCATCAGCCCCTAATTTGTAAGGATTGAGTCACGTGAAGTCAGATGTTCACTTTGTTAAATACCTTACTAGCTATCCTATGGATCAGAGATCGTCAACCCCCGGTAACGTCGGTGCCAGTCGGATGTCATTTTGGAGGGCATTCCAAAGACCAGGGGCAGCTGCCAAAAAGGCCCTCCGCCTACAAGCCATCCCTCTCACCTCACTGAGGGATGGCTCTTTCAGGAGGACCTTCTGGCTAGATCTCAGTGGCCAGGTCGTCTTCAAAGGCAGCCCCACATAAAGCGTATTGTAGTAGTCTAAACAGGTTGTTACCAGTGCATGTGTGACTGTCATGAGGCTCTGCTCGTCCAGGTAGGGCCAGCTGGAAAAGTTTCCGCAGCTGCAGGAAGGCACCCTTGGCCAACAAGTCCACCTCTCCCAATGGTTTCATGTAGATGTTGAACAGCATGGGGGACAATATTGAGCCCTGAGCAAATGACATAACCACCATGGGGCCAAGCCATTGTCCCCCAGCACCACTTTCTGGACATGGTCAGCCAGAAAGGAGTGGAACCACCATAAAGCAGTGCCCTGAACTCCTAACGCAGATAATCTATGCAGGACACCATGGTTGATGGTGTCGAACACCGCTGAGAGGTCCAGGAGTATCAACAGGGTTATACTCCCCCTGTCTCTCTCCTGGCAACAGTCATTGTACAGGGCGACCAAATACCATCTCCATGCCGAAACCCGGCCTGAAACCTGATTGAAATGGATTTAGACAATCTGTTTCATCTAGCAGCGCCTGGAGTTGCCCGGTTACCACCATCTCCAACACCTTGCCCACATAAGGGAGATTCATCACCAACTGATAGTTAGCCACTGACCCTGGGTCCAGATTAATGCTTTTAAAGGAGTGGTTGGATAACCACCTCTGTTAAGGCGGTTGGGTTGGATTCCAACCAATGGGTTGCACTCCCCCTAAGGGACAGGATCTGCAGCCTGGGGTACTCCTGGACCCAGGTGGACTCGGCGGCCAGAAACTCCTTCCTTCAGCTGCGGAACTTATACCAGTTACAGCCCTACCTGGACAAGCAGAGTCTCATGATACTTACGCATGGCCTGGTAACATCCTGTATAGAGTACCGCAATGCGTTGTATGTGGGGCTGCCTCTGAAGACAGTCCGGCAACTGCAACTAGTTCAGAATCAAGCTGCGTGGCTGCTGAGTGGTGGGGCCGCTAGGGAACACATCAGGGTGATTTTGTTCAAATTACATTAGCTACTAGTTGCTGCCTGGGCCCAATTCAAAGTGCTTGTTTTGACATATAAAGCCCTAAACGGCTTGGGCCCTGGATACCTGAAGGATTGCCTCCTTCCATATGAACCTACCAGACAATTAAGGTCTAGCCAGGGGGCCCTTTTGAAAGAGCCATCCCTCAAGGAGGTAAGAGGGATGGCTTGTAGACAAAGGGCCTTTTTGACAGACTATGGAATGCCATTCCCAAGGGAGATTTGTCTGGCGCTTACGTTAATGACGTTTCGGTGCCAAGTCAAAACCTTCATGTTCTAGAAGGCTTTTAATTGAAATATCAGCTGAGGGTCCTGATGGCAATTTTTAGAGCATTGTATTTTAAACTGTATTTAACTGTTTTTATCTTTTTATTGAATTCAAATTGTTGCAAGCTACCAGAGACCTTTGGGTAGTGTGGATAGCATAAAAGTTAAATAAATAAACAAACAAATAAATAAAAAATAGGAAATGGATACTAAGGGGCTTAGGTCTCTGGCTGCAGAGCCAGAGTTTGGGAGTTTGATTCCCCACTGGGCTTCCTTGACAGCGACTGGGCTCCATGATCCATAGGGTCCCTTCTAGTTCTACGGTTCTAAAATGATGTTGAAATATGATTTTATGTAAACATCAGGAAGAGCTTCCTGCTTGTAATAGCTGTCACACAGTGGAATGAACTTCCTCAGAAGGTGATGGACATTCCTTAGCTGGAGATGATTAAGCAGATGTTAGATTTGACAGGAAAATTCTAGCTGCGAGTTTCCTCTAGTGGCTGGGCCTTGGTGACCCTTGTTGTTGTTGTTGTTTAGTCATTTAGTTGTGTCTGACTCTTTGTGACCCCATGGACCAGAGCACGCCAGGCCCTCCTGTCTTCCACTGCCTCCCGGAGTTGAGTTAAATTCATGTTGGTCGCTTCGATGACACTGTCCAACCATCTCATCCTCTGTTGTCCCCTTCTCTTCCTCCCTTCACACTTTCCCAAAATCAGCATCTTTTCCAGGGAGTCTTCTCTTCTCATGAGATGGCCAAAGTATTGGAGCCTCAGCTTCAGGATCTGTCCTTCCAGTCAGCACTCAGGCTTGATTGTAGTACCTTCCAATTTGATTCTGTAACAATTCTGTGATTTATCAACATGGTTGTGCTAATGGGTTGTGCTCAATGGTGCCAAAGCAAAAAGATCAAAAGGCGCAAGGCATGGAAAACTCAATTCAGTTTTTCGGTTTCAGGAGTTAGTGTCCGTTTTTCAGAAAAAGAAAGGATTTTTTAAAAAAAGAAAAGAAGAAAGACCATAGAAAATGGATAGCATGCCAGACTTTAATTAGGGATGTTTTTATCCCCTAACTTTATGTAAACTTTAAAAAAATATCTCTTAAACAAGATTGTAAGGTTATGCATCCATATATGTAATTAAATTACAGGTGTTAATGTTGACTTTGTATTGTATGAACAAATTATTTTTTTTAAAAAATCCTGTGCTTTCACACAAAAAAGGAATAAATAACAAAATCTGTCAAAATCTAAAGAAACAAAACAAGACAAAAAGCATGTAAAATTTTAAAGACTATGTTTTAATGTGAGTTTTCGTGGACACATCTACTTAGTCACACACATGGACACAGAATATAAAGTTGATATGCATGCGCAGACTAACAGGGCTATCTCTTCCAAAACAAAATCTGTATTTCCTAATCTGCCTCGCCCTCAAAAGGGCTCTTCAGAGAACAAAACCAGTCCTCAAGAACAACCGGGTTTGAGTTGAGGATTTGCACGTCTGGTCAAAAGAAAAGTAACAGAATTTTGCAGGCTGGGTCGGAACGCTGGTTCATAAAACCAACAAACTGGTTAATCGTATGGGATAAGTTCACAAAGCCAGAGAGCACTTTCGTCTACGTGGCTCCAAGAAGGTGCGCGTCAGCACCCCGTTCCCTCCTCGAAATGTCATTCTCTGCTCCCCCGGCTACGATGCCTTTCGGTCAGTTATGAGAAGAAGAGTTCCTCGTGATGGTGGGCGAACCCTTTTTTGCTCACGGCAACGGGTTAAAAAGCGGTGTGTGTGGGGGTTACGGAAGCCTTGCGTTGCCTCAGCAACGGTGCCACGGGGAGGCGGCCGGAGCCAAGTTCGTGGAGCCGCTCTCTCCCACCCCTCGCGCGGCGATCACGTGAGCCTCCTCCTCGCGCCGTTTGCCGTCAGCTTCCGGGACCAGCCGGATTGTGAGAGGGACCGCGGGAGGGCGGGCTCGTCAGGGAGCCAGAGGAGGGAAGGAAGGAAGGTCCCAGGTAGGGCGGCGGCGGCGGCAGCAGGAGCGACCGTAGCGGTGGTAACGGTGCAGCAACATGTCGACCAACAACGTCGGTTACAACGAGCAGGGTGGGGAGACTCAGCCCGAGGTGGGCCAGGAAGTGGCGCCCACCACCACCACCCCCTCTGCTCCGGTGGCCTTCGGACTCTTCAGTAGCGACGTGAAGAAGTAAGTAAAGAGCGGCCGAAGGGGGAGTGAGGAGGCCGCCCTGAAAGGCTGGAGGCAGTGCTTCGTTGTTGTTGTTTTTTCCCTCCTGAGGAACTTTCCAGTCCTTGTGAGAGACCGAGTAGACCTACCGGTAACTCAATAACTACTTCGCCTTCTCTCTTAACCCCCGTCCTGTTAGCAACTTTCGGCTCCTGAGGCGCCTTTCCTGATACGCGACGCAAATCTATCCAATGGCAGAATGGAGAATACCTTCATTAGAACCAATTAAAATGTCACAAAGTACTGCGTGGCTCTACGACGTTGTGTGGCGTTTCGTTTCGTTTTAGTCCAGTCGTTGTTCCTAATAGACCGTCATCGTGAGTTTGAGAAACCCAGTCCTCAAGATTCTTACTTAGCTTGTAAGCTCACGGAAGAACTTGGGGTCTGGATTTCTGATATTAATGTGGGAGAAATATTTTATATGGGTATTGGTTGCTGGTGATCGTTCGTCCTTACCACCCACTACGAAAGCCGGCTGCCGATTTCGAAAAAGACCATGTGAAAAAGTTTTATTTGTAGGTTGTATATGCTAGATCGTGCTAAAACGTAATGGCATTAAGTGCCTATTGAAAAGAGTCTTAAGAAATCTACCCGAGAGTCTTCCTTTCAATTACCTACTTCAGGCAGCAATCATAAACACCCCTTGCTAGGAACTACATTCTGTTGAAGTCCATAGGATTTCTGTTTGTGTCAACATTCATGTCAATGGTATTTTCAGTCAGAAAGATTTAACATGAAGAAGTGCTGGCACTAAAGTTGTTATGGCAGTAATGGTGGAATCAAGTGATTTAAAAAAAAAACATTTTTGAGTTGGCCAGTCAGGAACCTGGACACATATCGATTTGTGTTTTGGGGGTTAGGGAGCAATTATTCCTTATGACTGATACAGCAAATTGGATTTGGGACACAGTATGCCCTTTCTTCCTGTTTTCATAGTTTATCTGAGTAGGGGATTTGATTAAAATAAGAGTTAGTCCCTTCCAGCAGGGTCTTGAATAGGGTTTTGTGCCTCATTCAGAGAACTTTAGGCATTGTTTTTAATACTAAGATTTTTGCTTGCCTGAGCATTTCATGTACTGTATGCATTTTTCAATGGGCTTGCAAGGAAATAATCACTTAATTTATCAAATAGTAGTTTTAGAAAGAAGTGCCAAACACTTAATTATACAGATTATTGTCAAATAAATAATTTACGTAGTACTTGTATGTGCTTGTGTGGATGGTTACCCTGGCCTCCTGAATCATTAAAAAATGGCTTCACAAAGGTTTAGTTGAGTCTTCTTCCATGATAGTGCAACTCATTTGTAATAAAACCAGTAGAGAATATATAGCAAGATGCCTTATATTTTCAAATTGAATTTCAAAAGAATTGAATTTCATAAACATTCTTGTTACAGTATATCATTAGAAGTAATTTAGGGGAAATACTTTCTGGTTTAATGAGCCATGCTATTCAGCCCGTTAAGTTTCCCTTATACACATGCACAGCCAATTTGGGGAGGGGTCCCAGATGGTTGATACTTCAGTTTTGCAGAATTGAGGAAACTGCATCTGAGGTCGAGAATTTAAGACAATTTTGTGTTATACTGTGAACTACTGAAAATAGGAATTATTGTAAACATATTAATTTTGAAATTCTAATGACTAAATCTCAGGTTCTTTGATGATAGATAGGATTTAAAAATATGCTAATTATTTTTAAAGTATGTTAGAAGATGGCTTCAGCAGTCTGATGAAGTTCTAGAGGTTTATTAGATGCAGATTTCATGTTAACAAAATGTAAGTGCTAACCTAGATATACAAAAGATAAAATAGAAGGTTTCTACTCAGCGCAAACAATTTTTGATAAACTTTTACTGGATTCAAAAGAACAAATTGTTAAGAAAATGTATAATTATATGCTGGAAATTAAAGTGCAAGATGAAACGGTTAAGGAATGTATGATTAAGTGGGCACAAAACATAGGGCATAATATTGATATTGATCAGTGGCTGAAAATATGGCAAAATAACATAAAGCTTACAAGATCGGTTAATTTTGAAGAGAATATATATAAGATGTTTTATAGGTGGCACATGACC